CTCATAGCTGGCTTTTCAGAGAAAGAGAGAGATACGTGAAAATATGGGAACGCTGGTGGGCGGAGGTTGACGCCCCAAGACTACAAGCACGCAAATGATGTCGGATGACTACTCAGAACCGGCTGCTTGAACATGTGAAGAAAATCACCAGAATGGGCCAAAGAATGATTTAATAAGCCAATACGGTATATAAAGAATAGAAGTCTAGAGCCCGACGTCCATGGGAGTCAGCTTGGGAGTGGCGGTGGGCTTCATGGAGCAGTATTGCACCACTCCAAGTATACAGACAGAGCACAATAGTCTAATGTGTATGAATATTAAGCCATTCTTGTTCACTAATAGCCCTACTCATTGATGACAGGAGTGCGGAAAGGATCATCGCCACAGAACTGACCCCAGCCGTCAAGTTGAGCAGAAGCCCACTTCAAGATTTTGCTGAAACCCTTATCCTCGTCCTTGGAGGTGCAGTAGTAGGTATTGTCGGACGAACTGAGCTTACCGGTTTTCTCAACAGAGGGAGGATACTCAATCTGGAGTACAGGCTTGCCAGCGTCGATGTATGTTTGGAAGTCCTCACAGAATGGCCAGTTCTCCTCGACAGGATCCGTAGTGCCGCGGCAAGACTCGAGAACAGCGAAGTCAAGGGTTGAGACAAGGTCATCCGCAATTTCAGGTGCATTCTTTTGGCCCACGAGAAGACGGTTACCATCCTTGGTCTTGATTGAGTGGGCGTATTCTGCAAGATTCTTGAGGTATTTGGTGTAGTCGGATGGCTTCAGTTTGAAACCTGTAGGGTCCTCGCCATCCTGCTGCCAAGCGTCGACATTGTCAGGGTCCACTGCATCGCACCCAATCTTTGCAGCAACGTCAAGGCGTGCTTTCTGAAGCTCGAGCACAGTTGAGTCACGGATGTCGAGATACCACTCCTCACTGTCATAAGGATAGGCCAAGGAATGACCAATAACGGCCTTGGGAAACTGTTTGATATCCTTGTCCCATGACTGAAGAGCTCCGGCGTTGAAGTAGCAGATCACAAACTTTCCAGCACCCTGCATGAATATTTCAGTATACTGCCATGTTATTTGGACTTGGAACAACCACGCATTACCTTGAGCAGGGGAATCATCTCTGGATAATCGCGGCCATGTCCCATGTCAATGTCCCAGACTTTGGCTTCGGACGGGATCAGATCGGCAACGGTATCGTGCTTGATAGGCTGGTGTAGGACAATTTCCCATTCTACGCCGGGTTTAAAGTCGGAGAGCTCAAATAAGGCTGAAGAAGCTGCGGTAGCAGGCTTTGCCTCTACGGCCTTGACATGGTTAGCAACCCGACATTCGTCTTTACGACGAGCGCTTACAGAGCCGCCAGCAGCCAGAACAGTAAGGGCAATTCGATTGTAAGCAACCATGGCTACCAATCTCGTATTTCAAGAAGAGAAAAATAAGTGTTGAACAAAGGAAGATATTGCTGCAAAAGTCCTGGGGAGGTATTGGAATGACCAGTTCGAGACGAATTCTTGAATTAGGAAATGTATGTGGACTTTGATGAGTTGAAGAAGTCCCGGCGTGACATACACCTCCGTAATGTAAAAATTTGCAGAATAATCAAGCTCTATATTATACCCTAACTTGACTATACTGCTATTCCACTCGCTGTCATCAATATCATATCATACCTTGGCACCTTGCCTCGTGCTCAACGGGTGAGCTGGTGAGATGGATACGAAAGGATTCTGTGGAACAGGATGCAACAAAAAACCGAACCATCATGCTTTGACACAGCCGTCTTCTGGGCATGATTTTCTAATGGCTTATTCAATAGTCATAAATAACAAGGGACGGAAGTTCCAAAGGTGCTGAATATGGCTAATATGGTAACACCAGAGGTGGAATAGTGGGTCAAGAGCGAAACCCTCTCCAGCAGGAGATTAACTACATCCTTGTTTGAAATGGCCTTGTCGGTGATGATCCTTTACAGACAAGGCGTTCAGGTAATCTTTTCAGCTCAGCCTCGGTGAGCTCAAATAAGCTTACTCTGTACTCCGGAGTTAATATTATGTTCCGAACCTGGCTCGAGCTTTCTAGGAGAAACGAAAGTGGCCCTAGAATCACTGTGACGATACACGGTACTATTAACATTGTGACGTTGAGAAGTACTTCGTGATTCAAAGCTGCATGGCGGTCCCGATTGCAGCTTCCCGGGCTTTCCGAACCTCGTCGCGTCTCTCTTCGTTTTCCTCCTTCAGACGTTCCTCAACATCATCCCTGATGGCACCAAGATCTGGCGGTATTGTCTGGAGCTGAACACTTGGTGCTGCTTCCACAAAACGGAGCTGTTCTGTAACATGTTGAACAATCTCCTGTAATCGCTTCGGGGGGTTCCGATTCACTCGTGGCTCGCCCAAGATTTGTTCCAGAGTAGGGAAGAGGGTATCCTGCCGGAAATGATCACGCCATGGGGCATGCTCTGGAAGAATGGGGTTGATCTTGTCTTGAGCATTGATAGCAATACTCGTCTCGTAAGTCCATGCCCTCGCCACGTTCCTGGGAGTGTAGCCGCCGCCTCCAAAGAGGATCATGGGGATGCCCATTTCTTTGCAGAACTTGACACAGGCACCATGGCCCTGAACTTGGAGGTTGAAGCGGCCCAGACGATCGCCGGCCAAAGAATCCGCACCGCATTGCAAAGCGATTGCACCTGGTCGAAATTTCTCCACAATCTTGCCAATGACAGTGTTAAATAAATGATCGTATTGCTCATCAGTGATACCGTCGTTCAATGGTACGTTGAAAGCATGGTGAGCACCCGGATTATGCTCGCTCTTAGGGCCGTTGTCATCGAGGGCACCAGTCCCCGGGAAGAAGTTATTCGGGTCATATTTGTGAAAAGAGACTGTCATGACTCTGTCCGTTGAAAAGAAGGCTTCTTCAACACCGTCTCCATGGTGCACATCGATGTCGATGTATAATACTCGCGGGTAGTATCGAAGGAGTTCAAGAATGGCGATCACGATGTCGTTGATATAACAAAATCCAGACGCTTCAGACCTCTTGGCATGATGAAGACCGCCACCCCAGGAAATGGCGATATCAGACTGCTTAGAGCAAATCTTCCTGGCCGCGTCCAGAGATCCACCGGCTGATAACGAACAGTAGTTGAAGAGGCCATCAAAGAGGGGACAATCAGAACCACCAAGGTTGAACTTGAGGTCAACCCCTTGGTTCTCGAGATCCCGAGGTACTGGCTCAGGAAGGACAGTACCAAGGAAATCTAGATAGTCAGAAGAATGAAATTCTGCAAGCTCCTCATATGTGGCGGCTCTGGAGATGTAGTTATCCATCGCGAATGACATTCCGTAAGAGTAGATGAGACTCTTGGACAGGGTTAATCGCCACGGTTTCATGGGATGAGTGACTCCAAAATGATGCTTCTCAATGTCCGGGTTGCAGTGGAAGGAAACGTTGTAACCCTTGGGTTTTGTGATACCAGACTCTTCAGCCAGACGCTTGCACTTGTTGTAGAATTTAGCATTGTCCATCTCACTAGCCAGCCCTAGTGGCTGATTGGAGAACTCCTCAACGACCGAGTTATCACGATCCTCGTCTGCAATATGCGGAAGGTAGTTGGGTTTAGGCACCCGGTACCTATAGGAGTCTATGTCCATCGTCGGAGTACAAGAAAAGAGGTGCTTTGGCTGGTACGAGTGTGCGATGTATCAACCAGTAGTCCAGACGAAGAGTGGCTTGAATAAGTCGCTGCCGGTATCTGATGCCAAATAATGATGATAGTGTAGCTGTAAAATACCGATAACACAACAGATGGATAGTATGAGACGGCTGCAAAGCTCTTCAAGTGATGAATTCTGACACAAATTTGGGTGGTTGAAATTCTGGTATGGTTAATGTAGTTGGTGAAATAGATAGCTCCAGATCTCAAGAGTCGAAAATGCACAAATGCAAGCGGTTGGCAATTGCGCGGGAGGCCCCACTGTTACCTCAGGTTGTGAATGGTCACTTCGGTCTGGGGGAAGTATAGTCAAGTTCCTTTCAGTGCAGCTACTGGGGCTCCGGGTGAGCTTAGAGGACACAAGCGACTTCAAAATACTTGGTAGGTACCTTACCTTAGTAGGTAGGGAAAGTCACCGGCAGGAACCAACGTGCAGCTTCTATCTCTTATTAGTGCATATTGGTCTATGCCAGAACGGTCATAGCACAGGCGAATTTGAGCTGTGGCTTCGATACCTGCCCTTTAGTACCTGTGTGGCTGTGAGAAACAACCTGCGGAACAGGCTGCCTTAGTACTCCGGAGGTTCCCCAACTATCAAAACTTACACCAGAAACGCCTCCACCTTTTCCCTTCATACATCCTAATTCTGCCTCCATGCCCATCCTTCTCAAATAGAGCACCCCCAAGAGAACACATTCGCGGCTGCTGCCTTTGATTCCGGCAGAGCAGAGCAGAGCACCGCGACTTCCACTACTCTCAAGTCAAAAAGAAAGGACAAGCGAGCAAGTGGGTATCGAGGTGAGCCGAGCCCGAGTCATTCATGTCGAGTTGCACTCCGCGTTCTTCTTTGGACTTGCTTGAGTTTGACCCAAAGCATTGCCTTTGCTTTTTGCCTTTACCTTTGTCTTCGCCTTCGCCTTCGCCTCGCAGGTTGCTGGTAACAGCCATTTACTGCCCTGCCATTTCATCTACCATTTGGCTTCGGGACTCGTATCCGTCAGGCTATGGGACCACTTTGATTTTCTAGACCCTCGCCCTTTTCCTGTCTTGTCTACATCAAGCCAACCAGCCATCATCACATCAATACTTTTTCATCTGCATTATCATCAATCTTTTTCTTCTTCTTTCCTTCCATCTTCCATCTATGCTGCTCTCGCCACACATCGATGCGCATTCGTTTACACTGTCACACGGGTCTCGGGCATCAGGCTTTGACGTTATCGCATTTTTCTCTTAGCTAGTATTGCTCGACCTTCTTATCGTTAACAATCATGCCTAGAGACGACTTGTCTATCGACTTCGTCAAGAGGATGCCTCAAGCCGAAGCCCTCGACCCTGGCTTGATCCTCGACGACTGGATTAACCGCGTCCAAAACCTTCCCGAAGAGATCCGTTTCATACAAGAAGAGGTTGCCGATAAAGATCGTCAATACTCCGAGTGCTTACGTACGATCGAGGACCGAGACGGGAAGATACAGAAATGGATCAAGACAAACGGAAGCCATGAGCCAAACCCCAAGGAAGACCTTCTTCGAAAACAGGTCCGCGACAGTTTTGCGCAAGCCGACCAACTATCGAAAGAAAAGATCGCATTGTGCCAGAAGATGCAGATCATAGTAGACAAGCATCTCAAAAACCTGGACAGCCAAATCAAGTTGCTTTACGACCGAGCCGAACCTGGCTTTACCGATCCTGACGAAGTTCCCTCGCTACTTCGACCGAGCGCTGCAAATCATACTGCCCCTTCGATCCGGGCCATAAACCCAGCAAGTCATATGACGACTGCAGCTGGTCCCTCGACTCCTCTTGCCGCTGCGCAAACCTCTTCCAATCCCGCACTTGCTCGGCTTCCCAACCACCCCAATGTTCGTCACGCACAGTCTCAGCAGCACGCGGCGTCTGCTCCGGCAACACCTGCAGCCAGCATGATCTTGAATCGACAAAGAGAAGGCTCTGCAGGACCCGCCACAAAGCGCGTTGCTCGGGTGAACCCTGCTTTGGGGACTATACCAACTACATCCAGCGGTTTGGCAAGACACTCATCACTTGGACCCGGCACCCCTAAGGGTGGTGCCGTTGGAGGGTCTGGTCTTGCGAGGGCAGGTAGTGCAGGCCCAAGAACCGGGTCTGTAAAGTCAACAGGACCATTGAGCGGCCGTCGAGGTACGCCAACAGGTGGAATACGGAAGAAGTCTACCAACAAGTCGAATCTTTCTCGGGTTAAGAAAGCCTCGAATCGAAACTCGCCTGCGCCAACGAATGACAGTGAACTTTCGGACGTCGACAGCGGCAGTGGAGAGGACGAAGATGGTGCCGACGGTCGATCAAGAAGTACGCCCGTGGCCGATGGTAAGGATGTTGACGGAGATGATATTATAGGAGATGCTGACGATGACGATGAAGAGGCTGGCGACGACAAGAAGTATTGCCTTTGCCATAACGTGAGCTACGGGGACATGGTCGCGTGCGACAACGACAATTGTCCGTATGAGTGGTTTCACTGGTCATGCGTCGATCTCAAGAGCGAGCCCAACGGGACATGGTACTGCCCTAAGTGTAGAGAAAAGCTACAAAAGAAGGGCAAGTAGGAAGGCCCTGAAACCACTGAGCTTTACGTACCACACCCAACTAAGGTGCTCAGGACTTGTTAAGGAAAGCAGTTCGATTAAAGGTGGCGTTTAGGAAAGGCATATAATATACCCATGTTGCTTTGAGCAGTACAGTTTCTGGTCCTCGAACGCAGAAGCCGAAGATGCACGCATTGCTTAATCCTCTCGGGAATTGACGATATACTTGGGATTCAATATGCCTATGTCGGTCCAAGAACGCACTGAACAACCCCTCTTCGGACCCCCTCTACCTCTTCTCTGAGCTGTTCCACTCGAGCTCCTTTCTGACGTGCTTTGTCAATAAAGTCATCCAGTGAACCACCAACCCCAAAGTATAGGCGTTTTGCTCCTACAAGAGCAGCTGCTTGGCTTCTATCGGTCTTCTTCTCCCTTTCCAGTATTAAGAAGAGGGTCTCGAGAAAGGCCTGGAGGGCAAATGGAGAGTAAATTGTTTCTGCACCGAGGAGCAGCGTGCTCCTTTCATGACCATGACTTGAAGGCAGAGCGTATATGAGATCGACGAACTCCTGTGACCAAGCGCCAGACACAAACGAGAGAGTGACGTTCGCTTCCTTGAGTGATTGTTCGAAGGCGGCGAGAACATCAGGGCCTAGCTCAACCTCGCCCTCAATTGAGAAAGCTTGTTGGAGAGCAGGTATCTGGGGGTTATTAAGGGCCCATGAAAGGATAAAGTTGGGCAAAGTGACGAGCTGAAGAACTGAAGGGTTATAGTCCGCCATGATGAGAGACAGAGGCTTGTTTTCAGATGTTGAGGCCATGGCCCATTGGAAGACTGCCAAAGATGGTAGAGCTGTACCGCATCCAAGCTGTTGGTCTAGAGTTAGATATATCATGTTATAAGTATCATTTATTTCACGTACCTCCATGACTCGAAGCCCCTTTTGTCCCAATGCTGAGGTGACGTTATTCGCTGCCAGTACCTTAACTAAATCGACACTGCTCTCCCAGCTCTTAAAACCGCCCTCGTAAACACCCGTTTTCACATCATGGCTTCCCAAGCCTTCAGACTGAGCGCCAGCAACATCTTCCTCCTCGGCCATCAGCTGCACCCTCACGTCCCATAACTCTCTTCGCGGTAGCTGGATAGCAGTTCCATTATCGAGCGTCACATCTAGAAGGCTATACGCGATCTTTGACGGTAGTTGAGCAAGCAAATCAGAGAGTTGGTGAACAGCTGGTGGGAGCTGAGGCTTTCCTGGGACCGGAAAGGCGCTGGTAGTGGCTGCAGCAGCAGTCGTGGGCTTGACGACAGATGGAGTCTGCTCATCATCAGAGATATCGTCACCGGCGAAACCGAATGAAAACGACATTGTGAAAGGAGCTTTTGTTCACCACTCAAAGAGCCTTTGAGACTTTGGTAGGTACAGATAAAAAGCTGTAAGTGTGTGCACTGTGTAGTGGGGCAGTAGAGGCAGATAGTGGGTGGTAGTGTACTTGCTTAGGTATGCTTGAGAATCTCGACTCCCGCAATTCTGTCCGATATCATTCTCAACGACTCGTCTTTACCAGCCAAGAACACAGCGAGCGAGTTCTTGTTTCTATATGAAAATAGCACGGGATCGCCTATAGGCCTTTGAAGAATTCATTCAATATGCGTTCATCTCTGTTGAGACTGGCATCAGCCGCAAACACACAACGAGGCCTTAAGCCCAACCCTACTGCCCTTCTTCCTCCTATTCCTTTATACCGTCGACTCCTCCGTGCCCATCGCAAGCATTTGCCAGCTGAGATGAGAGTTCTTGGAGATGAGTACATCAAAGCTGAGTTCAGAGCGCACAGAAAGGTGGATAACCCAGCTCATCTGGTATGTTTCTTGCAAAAGACCTAGCAAAAACACCATGCTAAGCAGTTCCAAGATTGGTTTCCTAACAGAGTGGCAAATGTATGCGCAAAAGATTGAAGGCGATCAGTGGGTGGATGATAAGTTAGATGAGCAGAAGCTCTCAAAGATGAGCGGTAAGTAAGAATGATCAGTACACGAATAGTTGAATTTAACATGTAGCAGATGAACAAATACACCAACTATACGAGTTGATGCAGGCCATTCAAAACCGGAGCAAAGAAGGTGGCGAGCAAGAGTCATAGACATGGTCTATGTAGACAGACCAGGACCGAAGAATTTATGGTCAAATAACGGAGGATAAGGTATAACTCAACATTTTGCTCATGTTACTGACTTGAACGTGTACGGATAATCTTCAAAAGTTTGTACACTATATAGACAAAACCTTTTCCAATGTATTAACTACAAGCATGCCTTTACTAAACAAATAACACCACTAAATATCTACCTGCCTCCCATTGCTTCAACAATCCATGTAGCTTGGATGGCGCTGACCTTCTTGGCATAATTCTTATTCGTGTAGACGTGCTCGAGGAACATGATGGATTCTTTCTTCTGCCCATGTAATACGCTGGCAGGATGGATGGCAACGACGTGTTTGCCTTGGATCGTGACAAAGCTGCCGTCGGGAGCCAGCATGGCAGTTTTCAGAGCGAAGCCCCTCAAGAAACACTTGAGGACTTGCTCAGCACGTTCTGGAGAGATGGGCACGAATGGTTGGGGATCAGCCGGTGGAGCCTCATCCAGGAGCTTCTCCTTGAGACACATACCCCGAAGCTGCCTTCGAATGTTCAGAGCTTGTTTCATGTTTCTCATGTTGATCTTTCGTTGCTTGCACCAATTCACTCTGTCTGCGTTCTCCGCGGTGTATTGTTGGATGGTGGTAAGATATGTGATGATGTCTCCCTCACGGCGTTGGAGCTCCTTTCTGAAGGTTTCCACCTCTTCTTGGGCCTGCTCAGACTGGATACTCAGGAATATATCCTCTCCGGATGTGATACAGGAAATTATGTCGATCACCTCGACCACACAATCAAACTCGGGATCCGCAGCAGCAAGCAAAACAGCCCCCAAAGGCGCAGAAATAGGAAAGCGGGCCATTATTTCACCAGCCCTCGTGATAGTGCCGTCATCATTGAGAGCACCAAGGAAATGCAAGTGAATGAGAGCTTTCTCGATTGCTTCTGTCTCTGGGGGATCCATGAGAGGAAAAGCAAGGACATCCTGGATTCCTCGTGTCTTCATGGTCAGAACTGCGCCCAAGACGTCGTTTCGAAGAATCTCGGGAAGATCGGAATCTTGCAGTGTCTTGAAGGCTGATTCTGGGTATAATCTAAAGCACTTTCCGGGTCCCTCGCGGCCTGCTCGACCAGTTCGTTGCACAGCGGAAGATTTCGAGATCGGTTTCGCGAGAAGAGATTCCATGCCCAGACGTGCTCGGTATTGCTTCACTTTTGCTTTACCACAATCCACCACATATCTGACTCCGGGAACAGTGACTGATGTTTCAGCAATATTTGTCGCCAGCACGATCTTACGCGTAAAAGGAGTCTTGACAGGTAAGAAGGCCTCGCGCTGCGCGTCCATCGAGAGTTGACCATACAAAGGGAACACCTTGATCTTGGGAACGTTAGAGGCAAGAGTTTCTGCATATTCCTCAATCAGCTTTTGGGCAGCTTCAATCTCTTCCTGGCCAGTCAGAAAAGCAAGGATATCTCCCGGGAGCTGCTCTTGCAAGTGTATCTTGTATATCGTCTTGAGAAGGGCGTCCTGGATGTCGGGTACAGGTCGCGGTTCATGGTGAACTGTGACAGGGTACTGTCGTCCCTTGATCTTAAGAACCTGCAGTGTGCTCTCGCCCTCGATGTTTGGTCGCACATCCTTGAAGAACTCTTGAATGCCCTCCACATCTGCTGTCGCACTCATGATGACCACCTTGAGCGGGACGCCCCCGCGGCCAGACAAGTCGCTTGCAAGAATCTGCTTCAGGAAACCAACAAGTAGATCAACATCAAGGCTGCGTTCATGAATTTCGTCGACTACGATAGCGCTGTAGCTGCTGAGATTGGGGTCCCGCAAAAGTTCCTGAAGCAACATACCCTCAGTCAAGAATTTGATCCTTGATCCCTTCGGGACCTGGTGGTCAAATCGAACCGAGTAACCGACCAAGCCATCTCGTCGTCCTTTCCCTAGAGGAGTACCGGCTTCTTGAGAAACACGATGAGCCAAAGTTGTCGCGGCGACTCGTCGAGGCTGCGTGATTGCGACCATGCCACCCACTGAAATCTCGTCGTCTGAGCCGGCGATCTTGATCTTTTGACGCCTACACCAGGGCTCCTGATAGAGAAATTGAGGAACCTGAGTACTTTTTCCAGAACCTGTCTCACCCACTAGCACGAGCACATCGTTACCGGACTTTCGAAGGGCCTTCTGAATGTCCTCGCGATACTGCCATATCGGAAGCTCTTTGCGTGTCTTGAGCAGTTTTGGATCATCCCGAGTCCGAGACCTATCGCTGGTATCGCGCCCTCTAGGAGGCTTCTTGTGCTCTGGCCTTTGCTTCTTTACTTCTGTGGTAGCGACAGGGGCAGCTGAAGGGGCGGCTGTAGGGGCCGTTGGGCTGTCTGATGCTGATATTGAGGCTACAGGCACAGCCTTTGAGGGCGCTGTGAGATACCCTTCGAGGGAAATTGTTTTCCCCCCTATCGTAATAGCATTTGGGTCTGCCTTATTCTTAGTTTTCCTCTTTTTCGCCGGAGGAGGGCCAGAATTCTCAGTTGCCATGGTGCAGGGTGAAAAGTTGGCGACGGTGGAAATTTTCGCTCGGATCCAATGTCGATAGCTAGGTAGGTAGGAGGCAATCGCTGGGATCAGAAGTATACCTAACGAAACAACCCCGACAAAATAAATATGACATGACGCGATCTATCAAGTACCAAAGATGTTCCACTTGTTTTAGTCATACTCCTTCACTGTCTCCACCACGCCAACTACATACCTAATGTAGGTACTACCCCTACCATATAAATATCACCTTGGGTTTTCGAACCATGGATGGCTTCTTAGGCCGTATTTCATAATTGAAAGATCTCAGAAAATTGCGAAAAGGACTGATTCGGCAAAGTCTCAATAAATTATCTATCATCAAATATACTTTGCTTTCGTTGGGTACAATCAAATCCAAACACCACAACATGTTTACCTAAACTCTCGGTCAGGGTTAGACATCATCGCCTGATATGTCCCTGGTCTTCTTATTCCGAGCTAGCAATATGCTAGAGAGTCGCCGCTTAGTGTATAGCTGTACATGATGGAAACTGAGTTTGGATATTAAAAATCAAAGGCCTAAATAACCAAATCCTAAATCGTCAGGTCCCCTCAACTTCTATTTCACAGGTCATCAGAAAGTTACGTGTTTGCCCCTAAACAATATAGCTAATATGAGTCGTTTGGTTAAATACTCCATATCAATGAATGCGCAGAGTCCAAGTCGACGAAGTCAAGATTCAGAGGCGACATACAATACCTTGGACGCCTGATACATGGTTTCAAAACCCGCAAACATCAATATCCGTCTTCTTGGACGATTAAACAGTGATTCGACTTTCGAATACATGCTCTTGGAATGCTCCAAACCCCAGATTCTTTTGAGTCGGCTTATACAATTGATCAGGACCAAGACCGGACTTAACCTGCAGTACTGTAATGGAAACGTCTAAATAGACATATTAAATCCCAATGTGCTCATCGTCCCCCATCCCAACACAGTTGCTATGTATCATCGTGTCATGAATTGCCCTTTACTTGATACGGGCCAATCGTTCTCGGTTCATTCTCGTGGCATCGTCAACAGCATCGCTCTGTGTCAAGTCAGCAAAATGATGTTTGGTTTAGAATTGAGAACACTACTTGCCTTGTTCATAATACGGTCGATCTGCTTGTTCTGCGAGTCAACCTCCTTGCCAATAGCTCTGCCAACCATATTCATCATGGACACTTGGCCCTCAAGCTCGGTGATGCCATCATCGATCTGGTCCTCAAGCTCATCCGCTCCCTCCTCGTCGTCAAGGTTAAATTTGCCGTAATCCTTCTTGCGAGGTTGCTGTCGTGGCCGGCCCACGGTGTTCATATCTCTGAAATTGCCTTCCATGCGCTGGTTGGCCTGGAAACCATCACGGCGGGTGGCTTCTCGTTGTTCTCGTTCAGATCGATGGCGTGCCATGACCTCATCGTCCGCCTTTTGCTTGCGTTGCTTGGAGGTAAAAGGGTTGCTGACATGCACGGCAAACATACTTCCGTTGAGTGTCTTCAGTTCGGCTGCCCGGTCTTGAGCAATCTTGTTCTGGTTGGCAGCTAGATCAAGATGCTTTTCCGTGTTGTTCAATCGCTCCCCTTGAGCTCCCAGGCGAGCTAGGGTGGCGCGACCGACTTCATTGGCCTGTCGGGCCATTTGCACCGATCGGTTGACAGAGGATGCACTGTCCTGCTGAAGTTGTCGCTTCTCCGCCAGAATAGATTGATATTCAGCTTCTTCTTGCTCCTCAGCGGTCAACTCGCGCTCCTCACCATAACCGCCGTACGAGCCGCCATCGGCTCCTGACTGTGGGCCGTTGTTGGTAGGCTGTTGCTTCTGGGCCTGGCGTTCCTGAGCACCAGCGAACAAGTTGTCTCTGTTGGTGTCAGGCTCGCTGGGTCCAAAACCACCATAGCCACCGGGGCCTCTTGCACCAGCCGTTGGGCCGGGGCTGTTGTATTTGTTCTGAGGAGCAGAGTCGCCATATCGATTTCCACCATAGCCACCGCCGGATCCGTATCGGTCAGCACCGTATCCGCTCGGAGGCTGAGGCTGAGAGTTGGAGCTTCCTTGCGCAGGAGCGGGAGCACCATAGGAACTCGGAGCCTGGGCGGCAGGGCCGTTGTTGAGACTAGCGCGGGCTTGCTGGTAAGGAGTTACGTTGGCATACTTTGCATCGTCGGCATAGGGGTCCTTTCCGCCTTGTTTGGCGTAAGGATTCTCAGATGTACTGGACTGAGACGACTTCTTGCGACCAAAGAGGGCGTGGCGGTTGGCGTCATCACCATCATCACCTTTCTTTCCAAAGCCAAACTTCTTCATGGCACCAGTTGTTGGATGTGGAACGCGATTGAGCGTGCGAACGAGCTGTCACGGTAAATTGTGCCAGCAAGAAAGGAAATAGAGAATTATGGAAGTAATGGAAGGGCTGAAAGGAGAAGAGGATGGTAGTGCTGCCTTAAGAGAGGACCGATAGTGGTTCCCTGCAGTGCTAACTTTAGGTACCGGTGGTTTATTGGGGAGAACGGACCCTGGGCTTAGCCTGGGCGGTGTCCCCTGACCCCTCCACTTGAACGTCGAAACTCACCTGTGTCTAAAAGGATTGGATACTTTGTCAATGGATGCTTGTGGCGTGCTTATCCTTTAATTCTCCCGTCGTTTCGGGCATGGAGCACACGCCTCTCAGGCCTAGACTGATAGAAGGTTTCGATTTGCAAGGCATTATGATCTCTTCATGCAATAGGCGCCCAACAAGCGCCCGAGATCCAATACATCCGATCCAGAGCATTGCACTTGGACCCTTTAGTCTAATCCCAGGCCCCTGGTGTTGCAGCCGCAATTTGACCCTCCCGTCTCTCCCCATGCAAGTCCATGGATCCTTAATCATTTCTTTATAGCAGCAGCCATTCGCCATCGTGTTTTCATTCCAGTCCTGCAGCAACATCGATGAGCCGAGTGGGTTGTTTATTCCATTGCGTCAGGTACTTAAGAGTCGCCAGCAAATGTGGCTTTGATTCTCATCACCGTCTATCCCGAGAGAGTGGCTCAGCCATTTCAATGCGTCAGCCATGGCGCCGCCTGCGTGTTCGATTTCCTTCGAGGTACTCCGTAGACACACCCAAATTCAGCCAGGTCGGATTTTTCACAATACGCGTTTCAAGATGAATAGCATGGAAGGCTATCGTGTTTGAGCTGGAGTGACATATGAAGCTTTGGAGGTGTTCACGGTGAAGCCAAAGCGACCCTGACCTTTGTTTGGAGAGCAATGACGATGGGTAGACAGCTCCTGTATCAACATGGTTTCACCTGTGGAGCCTAGCCTATGACCGCAGATTTTCATTCCATCTTCCATGTTCTAGAAAAGGCTCAGGAATGAGTACCTAATTGTTTCACGGCTCGGGAAGCCCTCCTCAGTAGAAAGAACTGAGGCTCTCACTTCTTGGCCCGCTCATTGTCTCTAAATCTGAAGCTGAAATTGGGATATTTGGTTGTTGAACCTGCAGGGAGGTGACTCACCGACAGACAATAGACCTTGTGAGCATGCAATCTGAATATGGAGTCATAAAGGAGATTTAGACAAATGGAAACTGCAAAGGAGATGGCCCAGGTATCTCAATGTATTTCGCCATGAGATGAGTACCTATCCGTAAGGTAGGTGCAGATGCACTCATGGATTCCCCATAACCGACTGTATTAATCCACTGGCCGTACCAGTATGTAACAAACTCCACAGCTCCAGGCCCCACCAAGACAGCAAGTACCGAACACTAGATAAAGTAAGGTACTCTGTATATTTACAGATATGTATGGAACTACGATTAACTAAGGTAATTAAGATATTATCTGAGATCATGTATCAGCTGCTTAGTATGAAATGTTGTAAAGCTAGGGGCAGGCATTTGAATTTGGGATGGATAGAATGGTAGGAAGAGAGTTACTGTGACTACTAATCTGGGCAACCTAAAATGTATTCCGGCCGCTCGTTCAATAATATGAACTGACGAAAGGGACCATTAAGGCGATCACGGTATCCCAGGTTCCCATAAGACTCTCGTGATTGGCCACTTGGCCGATGCGTCACCTCTGACTCGCCAACTGGGAGGCTTTATCAGCCTACATTACCTTACCTCACATTTACTTTCTATCTTCAATTTTCTGGAGCTCAAGAGCGCGGACGCCTTCATGTTCCAGTCACTCATCTTGCCGAAAAAGTAATACTCGACCGAAACTACATAAACCCACCAAGGCTCCCTTTTCCTCTCAATCATGCCCTTCGTCTCCTGAGCTGGCAACTGACCGCCCTAACACAACCCCCCAGAGACGTGATCGATACACTTGGATCAACTCACAACACTTCTTCAAGTAACCAACAAGATGATATTCCGGATTTATTACGCTTTCCCTTTTCTGTATACTCGATATTCTCCTCTTTTATCGCTCTTATATCGGCACATGCTGTCATCAATATCTTGAGAACCCTACTCAGTATCACTTATTTATCGGATTTATCTTTCAACCTCTTTAAGAACCCTACGCCCACTCTAACACGACAATGGCGTCTGTATTCACCTATGACCCTGATCCTCCAAGGGTCTCCTCGCCTTGGACTCCGCTGAGCGAGTCAGGGAAGGATGAAGGCGCTCAGAGTACAGAGCTTCGCCGACCAGCACAAGAACCTCAGCCAGGGTTGCTGTCCGAGTATGGGGTCATTAAACTACAGGCCGAACCGCAAGAGGGCCCTACTGAATATAAGCTTCACCTACTCCTCCGACCTAGGAGGGTATTTAAGAGCATGAGCACTGCCGGAACATCGCGCCACGCTCGGTTGAACATGCCCTCAACCGCCTCCCTCACACCGTCTAGCCAAGCTCGTGAACAAACCCGTCAACAGAGGCTCCAGCACTTGACTACTCAGCTCCTGTGGAGACTACAGCAGTCCTCTCCATATCATGCGTCCAGTTCTAAGGAGCTGGCAATTCCAAGACTTCCGGATGACAGCGTTGATCTTTCTGCTCCTGTGAAGCTGAGTAAACTTGTCCCGGGATTGGAGGAATCAAGAGGAGCCTTGTATGAGATTGGTGTCGCTGATGATGGCACTCTTGTTGGCCTCACCAAAGATGAGATGGAAGAGAGTCTCACAACTTTGAGAGTAATGGCCGCAAGCCTAGGTTGTTCTGTCGAAGTTCATCGGAGAGTCATTGTTGGCGACTGCGAGTGGGTTGAGTCGACCGAGTTGGTCGACACTTTTGTTCCCTCACCGCATCAAATCATCAGAAACGGAAAACTCTGGGTTGCTGAAGCACTTGTCAAGCCCAACTTTGGTTTCCTAGATGAGGAGAATGGAACTAACAGTTCTCATAAGAATGAGCAGGCTATTACAGAGAGCGCTGCCGTACCCAGCCGTGGTAGTTCAACAACACCGCAGTTGAGAGTCACTTTCACTGGTCCTACCACATCAGGTAAATCAAGTCTTTTGGGGACCCTATCAACCGGGACACTAGACAACGGGCGTGGCAACAGTCGACTTAGCTTGCTCAAACATAGACACGAAGTGGCCACGGGGGTTACCAGTTCAATAGCTCAGGAACTCATCGGATACAAGGACCAGTCAATTCTCAACTACAGTCACGGGAACATCGAGTCTTGGATCGATATACACGACTGTTCCGAAGGTGGTCGCTTAGTGTTTGTTTCTGACTCTGCTGGCCATCCAAGATATCGCCGGACAGTTCTTCGTGGGCTGATGAACTGGGCACCTCATTGGATCATCTTGTGCTTGGCTGTAGATGATGGAGATACAGCCACCAAAGGACATGGGGCAACATCCTCAACGCAGGATGTTCTGGGGGTAACATCAGTGGGAGCTGATCTTGTCAAAGCCCACCTTACATTATCACTCAAATTGGGTATCCCTTTGGCAGTTGTCATCACCAAAATGGATCTCGCTTCCAGGACAAGCGCGCATAGAACCACAAACAAGATCTTGTCGGCTGTCAAAGAAGCTGGGCGTATACCCAAAATCCTGCGGCCTGACCAGAAGATATGGAGGGACTTAGACCGAGTACCTGACGATGACTCGGCCAAAGTCCAAGACCTACTCAAGGGGATCTCGGAGAGTGGCAACCTAACCGAGATTGTTCCAATAGCATTCACAAGTGCAGTAAGAGGAAGTGGTATTGGCCTCCTGCATGCACTTTTGGGGAACCTGCCATTGCCGCCAACACCAACCGCTCGCGACTATGTTGGGATGGCGTTGAATCCAGAGCAGCCAAAATGCCTATTTCATATCGACGATACCTTTTCTCTGCCAACGTCGTACAGTAACATGACAGGTGCCTTGGGAAAACAAGCAGACCCAGGTATTGTCGTATCAGGCTATCTCAGGTTTGGACGACTCTCTGTCGGGGACAAGATTGTTATTGGGCCTTTCCCACCAAGTGATGACGAAGCTCGTGACTTAACCCCGGAGGATAGGCAATCTCCTGGTAGCTACGGACTCTCGATTTCGCACCCTTCTTCTGCAGAGTTGGCCCGCATTGCCATGAAAAATGCCGTCTCTGCATCAGCGACTCCAGGGGAGTGGCATGACGCTCAGATTGTGAGCATACGTAACTTGAGACTCCCTGTTCTGACCCTTGAATCTGGACAAGCCGGATCAATTGGCCTCGTCATCCAATCACTCTGTCACCGTTTCCAGAACGGTAATACGGACTCCAATATTACTATTGAACCTCCCCGTATCCGGCGTGGCATGATCTTGGCGATACCGTCGAAACATATGGCAGACACAGGGCTGAAGCTGCAAGCTGCGAGCGGCTTTACTGCGGTCTTTGATGACGCAGATACCCAGGCCCTTGCAATCGGCTCTTTCGTAAATATCTACATCGCTAGTATTCGGACGGTGGCGCGCATACGTCAGATATCGCGTCAAGATCCAGGATGGGAAACCGGAGAAAGAGAAGCAGACGAAATTGAGGAGATATTCGACCTCAACGACGACCTCGAAACGAATAACGAGAAGGAGAAAACCGATGCGACGAGGGGCGGAGTGGAGATGGGCTTGGAGCTTATCCATCACCGTGAATGGATTGAGATGGGTTCACGAGTCATACTATTAGAAGGCGGAAGTCAGGATAAATCTGGACTCGAAGGATTTGTTGGAAAAGTTGTTGAGATTGTTGATTGAACCTTTGATGTTTTTGGTGTAGAATACCAACACCTCTAGTTTAACTTTTTGTATGATGCTTTTAAATACTACCTAGTTGCTTTCTTGTAGTCACAATGTCTCTTTGGATATCTTTTATCATAACTCCAGGAACGCCATTCGTATGCTGCTATATGATGGTTTATATCTAGGCCCGAACCAAGCCATAAAACAATGTCCAAGTTAAGACAAAGCCCGAGACGCCATTGAATATCCCACCAAGCCAGAACTCGAACAAGCCACGATAATAACGAGAAGGATCGAGAGGCGCGTGGCCTTTGGGGAGTGATTCCGGAGCAACCTTGAGGGCGTAAAAGAGAAGAGCAGTGATGCAGGAGAAGATGATGTAGACGAGGAAACCGTAGTAAGATTCGAGGCCGAGGACACCGGCGGTGACTCCAAAAAGTGACGCAGTAAGGCTATGGAGATTGGAGAGAGCCTGCATAGATGGTCAGCTCGCAGGAACCTTGAGCGTGGATAATGGATCGCTAGTGATAGCAACATTCATTAAAAGCAAGGGGGCGAACCTTTGTGTTATGGACCACAGACTCGGGAACGATAGGGCTGATCTGAAGCTCGCGCTCGGAAGGCATTGTCGCGGACGAAGATGGGTCACTCAATTCAGGCTTTTCCAGATGAGAGCGGTTCCAGGGAGACAGTGTTGAAGATCGAGGTTGTGGGTATAGCTTCGTATGGATGGAACCTGAATGCAGCTATTAACGTGCTGTGCCTAGCAGCATCGTAATGACAGCGTGTCGGTCCGTCCAAAGTTCCGAGCACCGATAGGGTCTGGTTGGTTAATTTGGAATCAACCTGGTCCGTGCTCAGTAGGTAGGTAGCTCGGCCCCAACTGTAACTAAGCTACGACCCCTCCACTAGGCATGATTCCATATGGCAGTCCTCGGCGGGGTATCTGTAGTTTATGTAACTAGAACTTCTTTTTAAAGGTCACATTCTGTAACTTGCAGTTATTGTTGAGCTGCTGTACCAATTTTACTTGACTATAATCTGAACAGCACATAAGATGCCACAAGATTTCGCGCCTCTCAAGAACGACTTGTTGCTTCGCGCAGCATGGGGTGGGTTGCCCAAGCCTCAGTTGTGAGAATCATGAGAGAGAATTGTACTGAGACTTGCTGTGTTGCAACTTAGGTCAGACCATTGAACGTCCTCCTATGTGGGTGATGCGACAAGGTGAGAAGATATCTATCTTAGCCTGCAGGCAAAAGCCCGCAAGACTGACCTGATCAATTGATAGCCGGCCGCTACCTACCGGAGTATCACGAAGCCAAGGGTAACCGAGACTTCTTCGAATGCTGCCGTGACCCTGAAGTCGCAACCGAAATCACCCTCCAGCCCGTCCGCCGATTCGCAGGTCTCATCGATGCTGCCATTATCTTCTCCGACATTCTTGTCATCCCCCAGGCGATGGGTATGACTGTTGAGATGGTTGAGAAGAAGGGCCCTCATTTCCCGAACCCGCTCCAGAACCCCGACGACGGACAGTACGGCCAGGTGCTCGCTAAGAACGTCGATGTTGCTGCTGAGCTCGGCTACGTGTACGACGCTATCACACTGACACGCCAGAAGCTTGAGGGACAGGTGCCCTTGATTGGCTTCTGCGGCGCTCCCTGGACGCTGTTCTGCTACATGGTCGAGGGTGGTGGCACCAAGCTGTTTGCGCGGGTCAAGACATGGATCTACAAGTATCCTGAGGAGTCGAAGAAGCTTCTGGCCAAGATCGCCGATATCTGCGTGGATCATCTGGCACTTCAAGTCAAGGCTGGTGCTCAGGTATAGAATGCCCTCCTCTAGAACTGCACTGTATATGACTAACTTGCAAACTTTACAGCTGGTGATGGTCTTTGACTCCTGGGCAGGAGAGCTCGGCCCTTCTTCTTACCGTCAATTCTCTGAGCCCTACTTGAAGCAAATCGCCGAGAAGCTTCCCGCCAAGCTCCAGAGCCTCGGCTTGGAGAAGGTTCCCATGACCGTGTTCCCCAAGGGTGCTTGGTACGCACTTGACTCTGCCTGCGATCTGGGTTATAATGTAGTTGGCATGGACTGGTTGCATGATCCCAAGGAGGCCGTCAAGATCCGAGGCGACCGCAATATTGTGTTCCAGGGCAATGCTGATCCAGGGGTACTGTATGGCACCAAGGAGGCTATCACCAAGGCCGTGGAGGAGATGGTCGAGGGCTTCTGGGTCGGAAACAAGGGCTGGATCGCCAATCTTGGCCACGGTAAGTTCTCTGTGATATAATACTGAGCTGGACGAGGGGCTGACCAAAGGCAGGAATTACGCCTGGCGTAAACCCTGATCATCTCAAGCACTACTTCGAGGAGATTCACCGTTTGACCAAAAAGAACTAGTGGGGAAAACCCACTGTGTGCTGTGTTGAAGGTGTATTTTGAGATACCATGTGTCTATGCTGCGTCGAACATCAAAGTAAATAAGGGAGGGCATCAGAAAAGCATTGCAGAGAATACCAGTAGACACGAAAAAAATGTAACATAGTAAAACAGCATGGCCAAGGTACTGAGAAAAATAACACTTTGTTTTTAGCTCATTTAATTCATGGGAACCATTGGTATCTTGACTTTTGCTTTTCCTCCTTTTCACCTTCGTCCTGTACGTTGACCCGTCCTTCATAAAATTGTCTACCTGACATGGTAGACAGGACAGAACCCCTGCTTCAGATTCAATGTCAAAGGCGCCAAAACACCGAGCTGTACTGTAAAATAACTAGACCCAATAGCAGTAGAACATGGAATCTCTCATCTCTAAAATTGAGCATGTTGCAAGACTTGAAGGTCTCTGAAGTCCTAAGCCTTCTTGCCAAAGAGCCAGTTCTTGCCTTTCTGAGCCAACGACTCGCCAGCAGCAGTAGGTGAGTTGGCAGACTTGGGCTCCTCTTCGTCAGTGATAGCTTCGTCGTTGCTGGGCTTGCGGGTCAACTCTGTCTCCTTGTCCTTGAAGATGTTGCCCGCGCCACCACGGCCAGAATGCTGAGCACCAGATGAGGGGCGTCGAGGGATACTTTTGTCTCGGGTCAGCAACGATTCCAAAGAGAATGATCCCTGACATCGAGTTGCAGGAGGAGAGAAGAAGAAAACTTACGCTTCAACGTCCTGGCGCTTACGAGTTTCGCGAGGGTCATCGTTCTTGGCCATGTTGCCTGTACCACCACGGCCGGTGGTGACAACAGAGCCCTTGAGGACGGGAGTCTGGAGCTTGCTGGGATCTGTCTTCTCAGTGTGGGTTGAGTCGGCCATGTTGCCAGCACCACCTCGACCGTGAGAGGAGAGCATTGTGAAAGATGTTTGAGTTTGGAAGAGAAAGTGCTGTTGTTCGTTGGGCGGTAGTGGTCGCCGTGTTCTTGAGTGACTAACAACGAAACTAGTAACCGTCCAGGAGTTGTTGAGTAGACTGAGATGTTGTCAAGTCAAACGCTCAGGAGCACGTCTCTAAGGAATTGTAATGATGAAGAGAAAAGTCTATTTGAATCAATGAGATCTGGCTGGGGCGGTGGTGACAGTTTTTAACTCAATGCCAAGTCCTCGTGATTGATGTTGCAACTTACTACCAAATTTTCCCCTGCCCTGGAAGTGTTCCCATGATCAACTAAACAGGGCAAAGAGAAAAAAATTCGATAGGTTCCTAGG